TTACAAAACTTTTGCTACCATATGCAGCAGTGAAAGTCATGACCTTGGTGCTATGCTTGCATCTGGTGGGTCTTAGGGAGAAATAGATGGTTTTGTTAGATCAGAAACGGGGAAATGGGGACCCTGCAGATATTTTCGGACCACAACACCTACTTTCCCTGACAAAGTGGCCATGCTGAAAAGGAATAGGATCTCCGTCTTTGGATTAGACAGAATGTCCAGTCTGAATGTAAAATTACTATTTTTAATGACTGGAAGCCATACCGAGCACAGAGAACATATAAAATACATGCTTGGGTTTTCAATATATTTTAAATTACTTACTTGGCTTCACAGCTAATCTCGTTCCTTTCCCAAAAATGACTTTGTAGCCTCCAGTATCCACACAGTACTACAGGTCATAACAAAAACCCAGCAGGTGTGTGGATGACACTCAGATAGAACTTTCTAGAAGTAACTTTTAACTGTTATCTCTAGCACAGCAGAAGTAATACGAAGTCAAAACACTTACTTGGTCTCACAGTCATTCTAGTCCCACTGCCAAAGGTTAGCTTATCATAGCCTTGTGAGGCCCACAGTGTTTCCTCCCTTGACAAAAAATGCCCAGGAGAACTTTGAAGGAAGTCTAGAACTAGCCAGTGAAGGATAGTGATATTCTCAGATCTTTACATACCCAACGTGAGAAAATCTTTCCAGCTGAGAAAATACCCTTTTCTTCACTAGAAACTAGAAAAGTGTTGCCCGATTCAAAGAATATATTTTCTCTATTTTCCAGTGGAATTAATCTCCTCTTAATTTTGCACTCTAATTTTGGACGCGGGGGACCTGCAAATTATGGAGCATTCTGAGGCCAGTAAACACTGGTCTAATAGACCTCCATTTCCCACATTTCAGTGGCGATCTCTTAAAGCAGAGTTGGGGACCCTCAGTTGAGGGCCCTTCTGGGTAACCTTCTGAGGGCCAAATGCCTGAGCTAGGTGGGGCCACAGGTAGAAGACGACAGAGCAACACATGCACCTTTCACAGCAGGCTGGTTTCTACACATGCTCACACAACCCTGGCATTGGCCAAAAATTTATTTTAATGCGTCTGAAATGCATTGTGTCTAGTTCTAGAATTCACATGTGAACATAGTTTCATATATTGTGCAGCGCTGAGTCAAACTCTCTTCCTCTATTTTGCAAAAATAAAATAAATCATGTCAAGATTATGACCAAACAACTGTAGAAAGACAGACAGAAGGAAGGAAGGAAGGAAATAATTTGGACAAGGCAGATATTGTAAGACTTACTGGGTCGAACAAGCAACTTTGTCCCCAATCCAAAAGTTATCCTGGTTTGATCACACAGTGATATTCACTTTTGCATAAAGTTATGCACCTGAGAACAGCATTTGTTGGCTTAGAACAATGGTCCTTCCTGGCTATAGTCCTGGGATGGAGAACCTGTGTCCCTCCAGCTATGATTGGCCTCCATCTCTCATCACCATAACTCAGGTTAAAAGAAGAAGAAGAAAGCCAAGACGTACCAGGAATCACCATCACTGTTGTCTGAGGCCCAAAGATGACTTTCTCACTTCCCCATGATCCACAAAGTGACCCATCCAATAACAAAAACTACAAACCACCCACATCCTTTCTGTTTATAATGTTATACTACCCATCCCATTGTGTCAGCTACCAAATACAATGACCTGTGATATCTATTTTGCCAACTTACTTGGAAGTACGCTCAGCCTTGTACCAGACCCTAAGACGAACTTGAAGTTGTTATTATTCACAGCAGTGCAGCCCTTTACAAAAATTCATCCACTCTAGGCATTGCCATTGAGTCAAAACCTGTAATTAAACCCCTGCCCATTAGGTGCCTGTTTAGCACCACAAATATCCACACCAGTGACTCCTAGACTGACCCTTTTTGTCCTCCTAGCTAGACACACCTCTGTAAATTTTCAGTGTTTGAAATTTGAAGGCTTGTTACACTGAACACAAGCACATGCTGTCTCTGGCCCAAAGATGATATTCCTCCCTGTCCCAAAACTCACACAGTCATCCACCCAATGACAACCCCACCCAAATTGTTATAATATGTCTCTTCCAATATGCCTTTTGGAAGTTAGGAATTGATCTCCTAGAGATACCTCTGCATGGCAATCAAAACCCAAGGCATGGTAAAATATTTATCCCATTGTGTGAAATATCAAATGCCATAATCTATTGTGTCTCTTCTGCCTACTTACTTGGGAGTACGCTCAGCCTTGTACCAGACCCAAAGGTGAACTTGTAGTTGCTATTGCCCACAGCAGTACAACCTCTTACAAAAACCCATCAGTATTGCCATTGAGCCATTAAGCTCCCATCTATTTGGTATCCATTCTGGACCATAAATATCCATCCTAGTGACTCGTGGACTGAACCATTTGTCCTCCCACCCAGTTCCTCCTCTTTTGCCATTTTTTCAAGATGCATTTGCTCTCTTATTTATTTTTATTTTTACAATGGCACTGCATAATTGGGCACTCTTCCCTACATGACAAATATGTTCAACATAACAAGGCAGAGTAGACATGAAAAAACAGTCCCTTCCCAAAATAAGATTGATTGCTAAATGAAACCCTTGGAGTGATCAATGCAACTGTCCTTAACAAAAATGGAAATGGAAATTTGTCAATGTTTTAGTGTGAATTTCTCATGATATCCAGCTGTTTCATATGAAATTTTGACTAATCCACATATTTTTGTGAAGCAGTTTCCACATATGTGATGCTTTTTCACAGCAGTGTATGTATTTTTGTACCCATTAAGTGACTGGAGAACTGCAGTGAAGACACCTCATTTCTATAGTCCCCCACTGTGCGCTGATAGCAAAAATCACACTACAATCAAATTCACACACTCTTCCACAATCCAGATCCAAACAAAAACCAGATGCCACCATCACCTACCAGGAGTTACCACCAGTTGTGTCCCAGTCCCAAAAGTTACTTTCCGGGTTCCCTGTGATTCCACACAGTGATCCACCCAATGACAAAAACTGGAAAGTAGGTTAGATTCTTCAAGGCTATATTGCACAAGTCAGGAATCTCACCCTCTAGAACCCCCCTACAAAACTCCAATGGAATGAAAGCAGCAAACACAGGAGGGACAGGAAAGCTGCTTTGTACTGAGTCAGACTATCAGTTTATCTAGCTCAGTGTTGTTTATACTGACTGGTAGCAACAACCATCCAGGGTTTTAGACAGGGGAGAATCGCAGCCCTACATGCCAATTATTATAGTGAGGCAATAAGATTTAGAATTGGCTTGAGTGTAGCTAGTAGCTGGATGTGTTTATTCTAATGGGCAGTGATGGCTCTAAGAGACTTGCTTAAGTTTTTTCATAACTCATATTTGAAAAGTCAGGTGCCACATCACCTATCAGGTAAAGGTAAAGGTAAAGGACCCCTGGATGGTTAAGTCCAGTTAAAGGTGACTATGGGGTTGTGGTGCTCATCTCACTTTCAGGCCGAGGAAGCCGACGTTTGTCTACAGACAACTTTCCGTGTCATTCGGCCAGCATGACTATACCGCTTCTGATGCAACAGAACACCGTGACTGAAGCCAGAGCACACAGAAATGCCGTTTACCTTCCCGCCACAGCGGTACCTATTTATCTACTTGCACTAGTGTGCTTTTGAGCTGCTAGATTCGCAGGAGCTGGGACAGAGCAATGGGAGCTCACCCCATCACGGGGATTTGAACCACCGACCTTCCAATCGGCAAGCCCAAGAGGCTCAGTGGTTTAGATCACAGTGTCACAACCCTAAAGGTGACCTTCATGTTTGACCCAGATAACACACAGACATCTAGGCTGTGACAAAACCTAGCGAGAAGGTCCTATCCTTTTCCCCAAAGTACTGACTTAATGGATTTCACCCTCTGGTACCCACCTACAAAAGCTCCATTGGAAATAAAGGTGGAACCCAGGTATGTGCAACTTACCAAATGCAATAAAGAGGAGTTATATTATTTCAGCAGACTTACTTGGCAACACAACCAGCCTTGTACCAGACCCAAAGGCAGGTTTCAAGCCTTGGTTGTTACCCAGTGATACATTCCTTAACAAAAACTCAAAATTGCCAATTTTCTTTTCTGTGTTCCAACCTTAACTTCAGTATCTTATGATGATTTTCACAAGGTCTGGATTAAAATTTCTCCTAATACCCAGATTTGCCCCTAACAGTGGGTAAGAGGGTGAAGCAAAATGTTTTATGGGCAGAGGAAGGATAAAGTAAGGCTGAGTATTTGGGCAGGCAGATGGAACAAAAGCGGATCCCCGAAGAATATATTAAAGGCTGAAACTTACTTGGTGTAACAAGCAGTCTACTGCCACTTCCGAAGACTGGCTTACTGAAACTTGTACCAGACCCACAGTGTTTCATGCCTTGACAAAAATGTTCAAAGGCATGAGGAGAATGGTGATTTTGAGATGCATTTCAGCACGAAGCTGTGAAATGGCTGACAACAACGACCTTCCTCACACCTGTTTACAAAGGGCCTGAACACAAAACTTCATTTTGGCTTAACCCCCCCCCCCCCAATTTCCCCCTCATCTCAGCAGTATGATTTTGGGAATCAATTCCACACAGCTATTGTAAATCAAATGGGAGTCAGAAATCCTTGCAGATCTACTTGCAAATCGCCCAGAGATCTATCCAGAGATCAAAACACAACTTTAAGGTGTCCCTGCTTTAAGATGCCATTAAAAGTCCTTGTTATGAGGCACAGAATCATAGAACTGTAAAGTTGGAGGGACCCTGAGGCTCATTTAGTCCAACCCCCTGCATTTTTTTATTTATTTATTTATTTATTTATTTATTATTATTATTATTATTATTATTATTAATACCCCTCCCATCTGGCTGGGCTTCCCCAGCCACTCTGGGCAGCTTCCAACCAAATATGAAAATACAGTAATGAATCAAACATTAAAAATTTCCCTAAGCAATGCAGGAATATGCAGCTGTCCCATACGGGGACAGAACCTGCAACCTTGGCATTATCAGCAACACACTCTAACCAACTGAGCTATCCATAGGAGGCACAATGTCAGATTTGAAACCTTGGGTCTTCCAGGTCCTGACGGATGCCTAGATTCTGCTTGTCTTTGAACATACCTGGCTGGATTGTTAAGCTGGTCCCCTGGCCAAATACCAGCTTCCCATAACTAGCTGTGCCTGCACAGTGAAAAGGTGCTTTACTAAAACTTCAGGAAGAAAATAGCTGGTATTGGATACCCCTTGCCACTCTATTCACCAAACAAACCCAATCTCTCCTTCGAAAAAAACCCCTATTGGGTGGAACTAAATGTTGGATTTAGTTCCTCATCCCCAAACTGACGAAGACTATGGGAGTGAATCTGCATTTTTTCCCCACCGCCTTTTGAAACCCCAGGGAAAAGCTGTGGTTCAGTGGCAGGGCATCTGCTAAGCATCTTCAGGCAGGGCTGGAAGAGATTACTTGCCTCACACCAAGCAATCAGTGTAGGCAACCCACCATTAATGAACCACTGGTCGGACTCTGTACAAGGCCGCTTTCCATAGTCCTAAAATCCATTTGCTCTCAACTTTTCAGTCTGCAACCTCCATGAGGACGTTTGTCCTTATGCAGTTCTGCAAAGCTCAAAGTACGCTGGTTCTACAGCATGAATAACACTGAAGTTGAACTCAGGTTGATGACTGAAGATAAAGCAGGCAATGCCTCCCCCATCCTAAATTACAAAATATATAATTTGTTTTATTCAAACGACATAAAAAAATGTATTGTGGTGAACTTCCTTGTAGTCAACTTACTTGGGTGAACTCTCAGCCTCGTTCCACTACCAAATACAGGTTTGCGATTTCCTCCTACATTACACTGTGAAACAGACCTTTATTTTATCTCCTCAGCTGAGATTCACTTGACTAGCTAGACTTGGTTGACAAAAGGGGCAGAGGGTTTCCAAGCAAAATCTGCCCATCAAAATTCATTTGCCAACATTTGAATCAACGATCTTTGAATGTTATCTTTTGCACTATACCACTTATGGGTGCTGTGCATTTTCGCAGCTTTAAATATTTGCATCTTTGTTTATCTATTTTTGGTTCAGCGCTACCCATCAGTTCAGTACCTACCAAGTACTTACACCAATAGGTGTATCTGGGCATTTATCTTGGGTGCAAAACAGGGGAAATTTTTCCTCCCCGAGGGCCACATTCTCTTCCAAGGGCCACATGCAAGTAGTGAATGGGGATAGGGGTAGAAGTGGTCAGAGAAACAATGTCAGTATTACTACTGTACAGTAGATTAGTTTACACACATAAACACACATCCTTCTCTGTTCTCCAACTAGACAAGCAAGAGTCATTACCAGAGTTTAAGGTCACATTTTTCCGAACTGAAAACATTTGTGGGAGGGGAGTCAGGCTGTGGTCTTTGCTGAGGGTGAAGGCTGTGGAGATTTCTGGGGGCCAAAAAGTGAACCATGGAGGGCCACCTGAGATTCCCCAACCCTAATATAAAAGGGAGGAGTTTAGTGGATACAGTAGATTGCTAGAGCTTTAAATATATGCATTCGTATTTATTTATCATTGATTCAGTATCAGCAGAGGATAAATTAAGCAGCAGGTTTGTAGATCTGACACATAATTACTTGGTGTCACCATCAGTCTAGTTCCACTTCGAAACAATGGCTTACTGAAGGTACTGCCAGACCCACAATGCCCCACACCCTTAAAAAAATAGACAAGGCCACATGGGGAAAATAGAGAAAAGGATGGAGAACCTGTGGCTCTTCAGATGTTGTTGGACTCCTCCCTTCAGCCCCAGCAAATGCAATGGTCCAGCAATGCAAGCGATGGTCCAGAATGATGGGAGTTGTACTTTAGCAGCATCTTGAGGGCCACAGGTTCCCCACCCCTGACAGAGAGTGAAGAGAGAGCCATAAAGAATGAGTGACTGAGGGAATGGGTTTTTACAAAATAGATCGCAGGCACAGCAGTGATCGGGATTGTCCTGATAAAAGGGGTAGTGGGAGTTGGGATTAGTTATTTTTTCATTTATTCTAAATAACTAGCTTTTTTAAAAAAAAAAAGTTAAAAACTTACTTGGATAAACTCTCAGTCTTGTCCCACCTCCAAATATAACTTTGTTATTGTTTCCAAAATCGCACAGTGGAACAGAGCCTTGCAAAAACTGGCTGGCAACATTTGGGGTGAGGGAGTTTCAAGCAAACTTTGACACGTTTTTGGAAAACAAGTTGAGAATTTTTGGATTGTATCCAATAATAGTCATATGCAGAGAAGACCGATTGAAATGAGTAAGCATGTCTAACTTAGGTTGATTAACTTCAGTGAGTGTACTCTGATCATAACTAAGTTATTGGGTCATTAAGAAAGAAAGAAAGAAAGAAAGAAAGAAAGAAAGAATAAAACAATATAACAAGAAGGGAGTATTTGTGAGTTTAGAGATTTTACCAGTTTTTGAATTTGTACAGAATTTCATCTCTACTGTTACTAGTTATTTTTCCCTATACAAACTGGTAGCTCCATCTTTATCTTTTCTCATAGATACTATAGCCTTAAGTCAAGCAAGTTATTCAAGCTCTTTTCTTTAGTGATGAACTTTCAAGCCCTCTCCCATCAACTGAGAATACCCACAGGACATGAAATGGAGCTATGCAGAACACCCAGATCATGTTCAAACATGCCCAAAATTCACAATGATTAATACACATTTATGGAATTATGTTTTTTTCTCCTCATAGGGGAGGTTCAAAGCAACCCCAGCAATATAACACAGGGCAGGAGGGAATCATTTTGGAGCTGGTATTGTTAACTAACAGGAAGTCAGAAATCTTTCTTGATCTACTCTGCTTTTGTGCAAAACAGGCATGGAAAATCTTTCTGCTAAGATGAAGCAAATTGCTAGAGAGGGGTTTTAGTTTGTAAGCTTTCTGGACCATTCCTGTTTAAAGTACAGTGGTACCTCAGGTTACAGACGCTTCAGGTTACATACGCTTCAGGTTACAGACTCTGCTAACCCAGAAATAATACCTCAGGTTAACAACTTTGCTTCAGGAAGAGAACAGAAATCGTGCTCCGGCGGTGCAGCGGCAGGGGGAGGCCCCATTAGCTAAAGTGGTGCTTCAGGTTAAGAACAGTTTCAGGTTAAGAACGGACCTCGAACGAATTAAGTACTTAACCTGAGGTACCACTGTACATCTCCAAGCAGCTACCAGTGCAAGACAAATATTAACCAGGAGAGAGAAAAAAGAGTCTCAAAGCATAACCAGGAAGGGATATCTTTTTAAATATCTGAAATAGTGACTAAAAGAGGGGAAATTGAGCATCATATCTGTACATTTCAGACATACGTACTTGGTGTCACAATTAATCTAGTTCCACTTCCAAACACTGGCTTACTGTAGGCACTGTTAGACCCACAGTGGTCCAGACCCTTACAAAAAATAGACAAGGACACCAGGAGGGCATAGAGGGGGAATGGGGAACCTGTGGCCACCCAGATATTGTAGAACTTTAGCTCCCTTCAGCCCCAGCCAACACCCAGGAGCTCTCATCCAGCAATATCTGAAGAGTAATAGGTCCCTCACCCACTGCAGAGAATGAGGAGCAGAGCACAGAGAATGAGATACTGCAAAACAACTAGTGAACAAGGAAGTATTCCAGAATGGGTGATAAAATGGGTAGTGGGACTTGCAAGTACAGTGGTACCTCGGGTTAAGTACTTAATTCGTTCCAGAGGTCCGTTCTTAACCTGAAACTGTTCTTAACCTGAAGTACCACTTTAGCTAATGGGGCCTCCTGCTGCTGCCGCTCTGCCGGAGCACGATTTCTGTTCTCATCCTTTAAGGAGCAAAGTTCTTAACCCGAGGTACTATTTCTGGGTTAGCAGAGTCTGTAACCTGAAGCATATGTAACCCGAGGTACCACTGTAATTGGATTGCCATCTGTTCTGGAGAACTAGCTGAAAGAAAATGTTAAGACTTACTTGGATAAATGTTCAATCTTGTCCCACCTCCAAATATAACTTTGTAGCCACCTCCAGAATTACACAGTGCAACAGACCTTTGCAAAAAGGTGCCAGAGAACATTTTTTATATTAATTTGGGAAACTCAAGCTAACTTTGACATTTTGGGGAAAGCAACTCGAGAATCAATAATCAGCTGAATGTCAAAGAGGTAGAAAAGTTTAGGGTCAGGGGAAAAAAAATTCCAGAGAACTAGGCTTTGCTTGTGTTTAACTATTGAAACTTACTTGGATAAACTCTCAGCCTTGTCCCACCTCCAAATATAACTTTCCCGCTGTTTCCCACATTACACAGTGCAACAGACCTTTGCAAAAACTGTGGCAGTACATTCTAGATATTAACTTGGGTCACGGGAGTCTCAAGCAAATATTGACCTTTCGGAGGGCAATTTGAGAATTAATATTCCTGTGTGATTTTTAACAAAACAGGATTGACAGTGAGCAAGTGCTTTCCTGTCGAAAGATCTGCTGAATTTGCTGTGCAAAATTTGTGTTCAAACACAAAAGTCACAGACCAGATCAGTCATAGCAATTTCATCACAGTTATGGAATTATTCCCCACCCGCTTAGTGTATGTTCCAAGAAGTTTATCCTGAACATCCTTAAGTCCTTTTTGCCCCAGGCATTTGGTAGTGGAGTGGTTATTTTAATTATGTTTTATTTAGCTCGCATTAGATCATGTACCTGCTTTTGAATTATGGTGCTGGAGGAGACTCTTGAGAGTCCCATGGACTGCAAGAAGATCAAACCTATCCATTCTGAAGGAAATCAGCCCTGAGTGCTCACTGGAAGGACAGATCGTGAAGCTGAGGCTCCAATACTTTGGCCACCTCATGAGAAGAGAAGACTCCCTGGAAAAGACCCTGATGTTGGGAAAGATGGAGGGCACAAGGAGAAGGGGACGACAGAGGACGAGATGGTTGGACAGTGTTCTCGAGGCTACCAGCATGAGTTTGACCAAACTGCGGGAGGCAGTGGAAGACAGAAGTGCCTGGCGTGCTCTGGTCCATGGGGTC